TAAATATTCTGGTTTTGATGATAACAATTTGTATAATTAAATCATTCTTCTCTTAAAGGCACAATTGCAGGAGCAACTATTTTTAGTACTTCAACAAGTCTCCTGTGGCAATTCAATACAGCTTAATGATCACCATCTTAAAATTTACCTACAGGTCTTTATCCTAATTAGTCAAATTTATTTCAAACCTGTAATTTATTTATAGCATACTCTAAATAATCTATTTACTGTCTCTTGATTTGCAATTGATAGGATACGGTCTGCTTATGCTTCACTCATCTTTCAAAAATTTAATTTATATATTTAATAATGTCAAGAATTCGGATATATTTTGTATTCCACACTTAACTTTTTTTAACACATATATTCTTAGCTATTATAAAACATTATACTATCCATATTTTCTATAACAGATGTCTATATTTATATTTATCTATTACATTTGCTTTTAAACTTATTCTTATATGATTTAAAATTTCCTATCCTTATTTTTTAATACCTGTTAGATTCAAAATTAATTTTCCTTTCTACTATTACAATAATTGTTTAGTCTACTCTTAACACATAATGTTACTTTCCAAGTAATTTGTTTATCATTTATATTTTATGCTACTGGCATTGTTTTTAAGTCATCAAATTCTAAATCTTTCTCTAAATTCACTTCTATTACAATATCTTGTAATGGCACTTACCATTAATCATTCACCTTATATTGAAGACAATAACTAGCGAATTATTATTTACATTCCAATCTATATAAAAATATAACAGGAATCCTCTATTATGTAAATGCTTTTGTAGGAATTATATAATCAATAATTGCCTTGGGATTCTTATAATTAGCTTTTTTAACAATCATTTTATAACTATTCTCGTTAAATTATTGTAATTCTAAAGAATTTGGAGTTATTCTTCTTTAGCATCCATATGTATCTTACCAATATTAACCTAAAAGTTACAAATTTGATTAATCATCATTAGTAAAATCTCCATCTAAAGCTATCTATCCAAATATTTTAAGTTCTTTTAATCTTCCATCTTTCTATGCTATCACCATTTTCTCAATCATTTTTAATTATGGTTCATTTTATTTTACTGGAGATAAACTTAAAAATGATAAATCAGGCCCAGAATTTGCTTAAATTTGAGCTTGTATTTAATTAGTTGGCCTATCATCTAGATCTAATAGATCATTTGCATTTTATTGTAATTTTGGCTTCACTTAAATAGGATTAGTTTTTGGTTATTCATCAGTAGAAATTTATGCTTATTGAACTTAGATTTTAGGAGCCTCTATTGAAGTAAAGTTTTCTCCATAATCTAATAAATTAATCTATCTACAATGCTATTACTAAATAGGCTTTGTTTATTATTATTTGCTTTATTAGTTAGTATTATCTTATTGTCCTCCTGCTCTTTACATTTATCCTTAAAAAATAAGCTTCATTATTTGAATGTCAGAACTGCTAATACCTTTATATTGATTTACAAGCTATGATTATTTTTAGGTATGTTATTTATATTAGATATTAGGTTTTTATGGTTAATATTTTTGGAATATGTTCTCTTTATGAACTTACTTGCTCTTCATTTTAAATGCACAATCATAAAGATTCTTTTTGTATTTTTATTTCCATTATACTTCTTCTTAGCTAGATTTATATTCATCTGAATTTATTATTGGTTTTATAAGCATATTAATTATATCTATTTCTTTTTCTATAATTTGTTGTTTTTTTGCATATTTTAGCGGTATATTTGCAATTAGATTTTTTTCAATAGTTGCTTATAATGATGAAAATTTTTAAAGATGATCACAATCTGCAATACATTTTGAAGATGCAGATACTTTAACAGCTAAATTAAATTATAATTTTTGAGGTAAGAATTCTTTAGTATACAAAAATTCTTCGAGTATAAGTAACATCTAAGAGTAAAAATAGAAATTTTACTTCTTAATATTTCCTTGTGGTGATTTCTTATTTATAATTATTTGCATAAAATTCTGCGAGTTTTTTAATTGCTTCATATCCCAAGAATAATTCATTTCGTTATACAATAACTAAAAATATTGCCTAAAGAAATTAGATTGATTTGAATTACATCTTTATTTACATTACAAATACAAAGGTAATTTGAATCTAAAACAATAGATCTATCAATTTTTTTTCCTGCCTCTAAATGATTAAATGATGAATACTAATCTGACTAAGAATATAGTTATAAATATCCTTAGAATATTGCAAAGATAATTCATGAGAATAATCATTAGATGAGACAACAAAGATATTTTAACCTCTCTTATTTTGTATGATGATTGAACATATTTTCATAGTTTTTTATTATATTAAATAAATATATTTTCTTAATTCTCTTTATTTTAATCTCTTATTCTAATTTTTTCTCGACTTTAACAGCGATCTGCTGTTCTTAATTTAAATTCTTTAAATTCTGTAAGTGGTTTATTTGATTTGAAGATCTAAAATTTAATAGGATTGATTTGCATTTTTGGTTTTGATTTTAATTTTGATTTTTTTTGCTAAATAGGTTATTTTATTTTTTAATTGCTTAGATCAATTGACTATGATCTATATCGATGGGATAGATTAGTAAAATAGGAAGTTCTTTTTATTTCACTTTAACTTATGGAATAGTGAAGTGAATGAGTTTCTATTTATCGAGTTTTTCTAAACATTTTGTAATTAAATTTAAATTATTAAATTAACATCTCTATCTAATTTAATATGTAAAATGTTATTACTCCTGAAATTGTAAGAACATTTAATAACCCTTGTGATAAATTTTTATGTAAACCATCAGAGGAAATAAAATTTATAAAATTTATACTTAGAGATGCTGATGATAATTTTATTTTATTTGACTTTGATAATGATGAAGACAATTAATAATAAGAAGTATTGAGTTATTAATTTACACCTCAATATTTTGATATTAAGACTTTAGGAGCAACTAAAATATTCAAAACATTTGATAAACCATTAAAGAATTTACTTCTTATAGATAGGTATTTAATATAAAATATTTATTTAGGTTTTATTTTAAAAATAATCTTATTAAAGAATATGAATTTCGTTTCCCATTCTGTATACCACATTCAACAAATACTTGGGAATCAATGTATGATTAACCTGCATTAGGTGCTAATTTAAAGGATTAAATGCTTTTAAATCCATGGGAAACAAAAAGTGATACATTTCTATTTATAGATGGAAAGTTAGCCAATCATGAAAGAATAGAATATGATTTTAGTGGAGATCAAGAAGATTTTGATTGAAAAATAAATAGTTTGTATTAACTTTAATTAAATTAATGAATTCATTATAATAAAAGTTGATGCTTAGTATTGGTACTCAAACTAAAACAGATAATTCTTTACTGCCTGATATTGTGTAAAAGAGTCCTAGAATGATACTTCGCAATTTAAAAACAACTAAACTAAAGAGTTTAGAATACATAAATACAGACAGAGCTTTAGATGGGATTGTATCTAATCATTCAAGATAAACATCTTTATAAAAGATGAATTTATCATAATGTAAATAAAGAATTAATAAATTGGCTAACGATGATAATCGTGTTTGTTTACCTAATTTAAAAAAATGGAATAAGGAAAAAGCTAAAAAAATGTTATGTGAATACATCAAATAAAACAATAAATATACAAATAAAATAATTGTTAAATTGCCTGAATATGAGAAAAAAGCTCCATTTATTGCAGAATAATTTTCATTTATTGAGAAAATATTTCCTTAAAATTAAAAGTTTAGAAGGTAATTAGGGTTTAGTGAAGAAAGTATTTTAAGAAATAATTTATTGCTTGAAAAGATGCTTTTAGAAAGATTATTATGAATTCTTATTTTATACTATTTATGTATGATTATGAAATTATCTCAATCTGTGAAATAAAAGAAGTCATGGGCATTATTATCATATAATCTCATGCAGAAACAACCAACTATTTTTAAATGAAATGTTTACGTCCATAACTAAACACAGCTGGGAACCAGAAATTTCTAATATTCTTTCTATACCATGCACCATAGAAAAGTCTTTTGAATAAATATTCTTTAGGTCCTCCATACATATAATGGAAATTATGGTGTTGATTAGATAATGATCTTGAGTGTTAAATGAAACCCTTTTTATTAGAATATAATAAATTACTCTTTCATAATTAAATTTGTCATGATAATTAGACAAATTGTTCTTACTATTATGAGCCATATACTCTGCTCTCTCAGGTAAATGTCTTAACCCACCTCTAAATGTTCTAAATTCATCAGATTTGTATTCGCTAACATATGTCAAACCTGCACCTTTGGCGTTCATTTTTTTATTTAAGATATTAATTATTTAATTAGATAAGTTAAAGCAAATAACAAAATTTTATCATTATTATTGCATGCTTCTAAATTTGTATAATAAACTTTTTTTAACATAAAAACATTTATCTTTTAAAAATAGATTACCTTTTCCATCTGTAAATTGACACTTTCTATTAAGTAATTTAGAAAAACATTATTTTATTAAATATATATATATGTCATTTACTTTAGCTTTTTAACCTGAGTTGATTAGAGCTTCATAAAAAGATTCAGAAATGATTCAATAGATCTATCTAAATATATGCAATCTTATGGAATATTTTGTTTCAACTAGATAAATTTACAATCAACTAAACACAATCAAAATGTTGAGTAATCTTACATATTATATGTTAACATACTTTAGAGAAGTAAAGACTATTGGAGAAGAATACACTAATATTTAAGTTTTTAATTATTCTGACTATGATAATCATTTTGTACCTTTACAGAAAAAAAGAAAATTGTTATTTATAATTTTATAATTCCTATCATTTTCTATCTAAAAAATTAGATCCAGATAGATTATGTATTAATAATAAAATTAGACCTAAAAATTACTTAAATATTTACCAGATATTAATGATGTAGTAGAAGGAATTTAAGATTTTCACTTAGCAATATTTTTAATTCAAGGAACTTACTTTGAAATAAGCAAAAGATTAACATAAATCTAATTCATTTTTAATAGGATACCTCCTAATCACAATATAAAATATAAAAGAATAGGTTAAGCGTATTTATTATTATTGTTTTTACAATTTACTAAATATTTGTACAACTTTATTTAGAAGATAAATAATGAAAATATTAAGGATCAAGTTAATAAGGAAAGAAATATAACAACAAATGAAAGTAATGATAAATTCACATAATGTTTAATTTGTTATGATAATTCAACAAATGTGACTTGTACACCTTGTGGACATTTATTTTGTTGGGACTGTATTATGTAATAAATAAATTTAAAATAATAATGCCCAATATGTAGATCTGATTGTTAAGCACAATAGTTAATATAATTGTATAATTATAATTGATTAATAATAAATTTTAACCGAATAATATAATTTTTAACGTATAATAAAAATGATCCACGAATAGTACAGATTCTTTGGCAAAGAATTGGTTAATTCTTCAGGTGAATTCTAAAAGGAAAACACAGACAGAAATAAACCAAAACATCTTACTGTCTTACCAAGATATTTGAAACTAAATTTATGGTAAGAAGAAAGGGAAAACAAAATGGAAGTTGAAAGTTAAACTCATTAATTATGTTCCTTTGATTAATAAATGATGAAAGATCCTTAATTTACTTCAATATATAGTTAAGAGATATTTTCTTATTTGTTAACTTAAGAAGAAAAATATTTAGTTAGTAATAATTATATGAATGAACAATAATAACCTGATTTGAATGCAAGAATGAGAGCAATTTTATTAGATTGGTTAATTGATGTTCATCTTAAATTTAAATTAAGAGATGAAACTTTATATGTGACAACATATTTAATAGACAGATTTCTAAATTTTAGAACTACAACCAGATAATAACTTTAATTAGTAGGAGTAGCCTCATTATTTATAGCTTGTAAATATGAGGAGATATATCCACCAGATTTGAAAGATTTTGTGTATATAACAGATAATGCTTATACAAAATAAGATGTTCTTGATATGGAAGGTTAAATATTATAGACATTAGGCTTTTCTATAACATAACCATCAAGTTATTGTTTTCTTTAAAGATTTGGAAGAATAGCAGGATTAGATACAAAGAATTTATATTTAGCTTAGTATCTTTTAGAGCTTTCTATTATGGATATAAAATTTATGAATTATAAGCCATCATTTCTTTCTTCTGCAGCAATCTATTTAGTCCATAAAATAAGGTATTAAATGTTTCTATATAATTTTTAGAAAAGCTCCTCAATCTTGGAATGAAGAAATGTAAAAAATGACTGGGTATAATGAGTAAGAACTTAGATATTGTGCTAAAGAAATGTGTCTTGTTTTACAATCATCAGACAAATCTAATCTTTAAGCTGTTAGAAAAAAGTTTGCTTTACCTAAATATTCAGAAGTTTCACGTATTAGAGTCGAAAGGTAAACTAAATAATAAAAATGAATTAATTGTTTCATTTCTAGTTATTATCTTAACATAAATTTTAATATCAATATTTTTATGACACTGATCTTCTTTTTGTATTTGTTACTTAAATTATGTAATTATTATTAGAATACAAAAAACTCTTTAATCTTTGTTATAATTTATCCTAATAAATTTAATAACCATCACTTATAATTCCTAATTATTAAAAATTACTATTTTTATTGCTACTACTATTTGAATTGTTAATATTTCCTTTATTTATATAATTCTAATTTTAGTTTATACTACTCGCATTCTATGAAGGAAAGAAGGAATTTTAAGTTTGAGATAAATTTGAAGTTTATTAAATTTATTTCATAAATGGAGTTTTATTATTATTATTACTTTTGCTTAAAGATCTTTACTTATACGAATGTTAAGTAGAACTTTCAGCCCTAATATTATTATTATTCTCAGTATGTACTCGAGAACCATTCTAATATATTCTAGATTTTTTTTTTGTAAATTATAAACTATTTCTTAAATTTGTCGTATAGTTTAATTTACTATTTTCAAAATTCATTAAATTAGCTTTAATCCTATTAAGTTTGGCTCGTTTTAAAAATTTATTTCTTATTAAATAATAACAAGTTGTTAATGAACAATGTTTATTCTACTCTAATTATTAAAATAAATTGATTGTTTCTATTTAGTTATCTTCTAATTCTTTAATTATTAAATGCATTGGAATATCATCAGGAACTTTCAAATATTCATCTTCAAAAATTAGATTTTAAGTATCTAAAAAATTAATTAAGTCTTTCAATGTAATTCTTTTATTCGGATCAACATTAAGCATTGATTCTAACAATGAACAAACTTACTTTGAAATTGGATAATAAATTTAAAATTGCGATTTTTTAATTTTATTTTTTAAATCATTATTGTTGGTTATATTATTAAAAGGCATTTAACCCTATAACATTTAATATAGTATTAATCCCAAACACCATATATCATATTTTTATCCATCAAATTCATATTAGAGAGAGTTCAACATTTCTGGAGATTAATATTATAATTTAATTGTAGAATAATCTTTATCAACTTATTTATCCATCCTTATTGCTTCACTAAAATCAATTATTTTAGGTTTTCCATTTTATAAAACAATATTGTCTAATCTTAATTTACAATGAACAATACTGTTTTCATGTAAATAAGAAACTCCTCTAACAATTTATTGCAAATATATCAATGATTAATTTTCTGAAAATCAATAAATTATTATAATGATACTTTTAGGATGAGTTATATTTATGTTTTAGATCATCTCCAAATTCAAATACCATATAAATATTATATGTAGATTCCAAAATCTATATTAAATCAATTAATATTACTTCATATAATTGAATTATATTCGGGTGCTTAATTTATCTAAGTATTTGAATTTCATTTTCGAGATTTTATAAATCTCTATTTAATTTAAGATTCTTCTTCTCCAATATTTTAATAACAACTTTTTCATTCACTAATTAATGTTTAGCAATAACAATTTTTCCATATTTACCATTTGCTAATAACTCATCTTATTCATAATTATAAAATGTATACCTATAATATAATTTTATATTTAAAAAGACATTAAATTATATAATCAATTATTTAGTAACGCAATCATAACTTTTTCCATTCTAGTTCTCTATTGAATCAATTCTTGATCAAACTTTCTTCTCATTCGTTCTCTCCATTAACTTTTAGATTCTTACTTAAATATATCAATTGATTATTTCAAATCATTAATTTATTCTGTTGTTAGAACTATTTTAATTGTTTTCAATTAATACTTGTTTCTAAAATATTTCTTCTTATTTATAAAAGCACACAACTTTCCCTTGTTGAGATAGTGTATTAATCATCAGTAAGTCCAAAACAATTAAGAGATTCTAATTCTAAAATTCTATCTTAATATTAATAATAGGTTTTAGTTTCCCATTAATTTTAAGAAATAGGCCATTTATTCATTTTACTTATAAGTTTTCTTAAATTTAATTATAATTTGCCATAAAAGAGAATATTTAAATATTCTTAATTTGAAGCTCTTTAAAATCTTGAATAGTTCTTTATGATCAATTACAATTAACCTCTTGTAATGATTTTACGTAAACTATTTTTTTTGATAGATTTGAAAGCAGGGAATTATTTCATTTGTTATACAAATTATTCTAATTTTTAAATTTTGAAACAATCCATAAGTTACATTAATTCAATTTTAGGAATTTCTACAATAATAACATCTGTTTTAACCATATATAAGTATTCATCACTCAAAAAGTCACCTAATTTTATAGGTAAACCATTAATAGGGAATCCAAGATCTTTATTCACCCTTAAAACTTTACCTTCGTATAATATTGTTATATTATGATCCACATCAAAGATTTCCTCATACGTAAATACTCTAGTTGACATTATTTAGGTTATATCTTTGTATAATTCATCAGGTAATCCATTAACTTTATTTTAAATCCAATCTTTAATTTTTTAATCTTCAATTGTATTTCGTTGTTATTTCAAAATTATTTTAGGAACAGATAATAAATCATTTATAGATTCTGTATAACAAATTTATTAAAAATCTTTTCTTGATTTTAACCATTCTGGAATTACGGTATCACCAAAATTATTTTTTTTATGAATTGAAAAATTCTTGTTAAATCTTGGCTAAGATTATAAAATCTTAAAATCAGATTAATTATGAAATGATTATTCTAATTTTCTATCTCTTATTCTCATATATACTTTAATTTTTCATCTGTTCCATCAACTTGATTACTTAGTTAAAACGTTTCAGTCTAAGAATAAAAAGATTTGGCTTTTCTTAATTATTTAGGTGCTTTAACTGTATTACATTTCATAAGAGTTGATCTCTTAGAATGATTACTCATTATTTATATTAATCATTTGTTTTCTTATTATTTTAACAATATATTTCTTGAGACTTATATTTAATTTTTATAAAATTTTTAGGTCTAATTTATATCCTTAAGAAATAAAATGTTGTCAATAACAGATGCAATTAAAATAGAGCATTTATAATAATAGAAGTCTATTATGAAATTTGATTTATATATAAATATTGGTTAAATGACCTTTAGATGATATGTAATATATTAAATTTATAATTAATCATCTTCTACTTAGCAATGAAGAAACAGAAGAAACAACCTTTTTGGTATCATCATCAATATTAGCATAATTGTCTTTGGCAATTTTTACAAATTTTGTTATTTTACTATTGCAATCAGTTAGACACTATCTCTCTTTATCATTCATCCATTCATTTTAGATATCAATGCATTAATTGGTACATTGTTCATAAAAGAAATCTTCAATTTCTTAAACAATGTAAAAAATCTTATACATTTCATTTGAATATAAGCTCCTAGATAAGTAGCAAGTGCTCTTTAATCAATTTAACCTCGACTCTATCTTATTTTCATTTCTTTCTATTAATGGAGATTTTACTGCTACTCAGCAAGTTTCTAATCAAACAATTTTTTTCTATAGGATGAAAACATATAACCACAAAATTAATTTTAATGTTATAAGCTTATATAAATAGATTCCTAATAAGTATAGAGTTGTATAATTTAGAAATGGGAATAATAAGGCAGGATGAATCATTTATAGTGAGAGAAGAAATAAGAGAAAATGCTACATGGAGTGATCTAAGATAAAATCGAATTAAATAAATAAAAGATGACCTTGATAGTGGAAACATCAATGTTGATTCTGAAATAATAGAATAATCAGGATAAACATTACTAACATAAAGTATAGTTATTGATAGATATGAAATATTCTTGCTTTGTTTATTATTTTAAGGTTAGAAACCTATTTAATTTCTAGCTAATGTAAATTAATAAACTTTTGAAGGGATGAGACCAGTTCATTTAGCAGCAAGTCTAGGTAGATTGAAAATGTTATAGGACTTAAAATAATATGGAGCATAATTGGATGTTAAAGATGAATTGGGCATGACTCCATTAGATAGAGCTAAATTATACAATCATTCTCAAATAATTGAGTTTTTGTAATAAAAATAATGAATAATTTTATTTATTAATGAAAATGATTGAAAGTCCATGCTAAACATTATAAAGATTGAATAATCTCTTTTCTTATTTGGAAAATAATACTTATTCATGTAATCATATAGCTTTATCTAAACTCAAATTTTAAAAATTCAAAAAGTTTCCCATTCCCTAACCATTTATTGATCATGAAATCGAATATTTATCAGCTGTTAAATAATAACCTAAATAAAACTTATAAAATAAACCTGATCTAATACTTCCTGATACAACAAAAAATGTAGAATCATTAAAAGAGTTTACACTATATGTTTAAAATATAAAACAATAAAGGAAATAAAGAAAGCTTAGCAAAATTGATCATAATAATAGTGCTATCAATTTTAGAGTTAAAAAAGAAGGTTCATAATAAAAATCTCCTAAATTGAATAGATAAAATTCTATACATCAAAATATTTATATGGGAAAGAAAAAAAATGTTAAAGTTGAAGTTCCAAGTCCAAGACCTAATAATAAAACACCTTATTGGGCAAAAGAATTGTTTTAAAAATTGTAAATATAATTACCCTTATTATGAGAGAAAATGATTAAATGAGAGGAATGATAGCTAAATAAAGCAAAAATGAATAGCAGGTTTGGAACATGTATCATTCAAAAAATTATGAAAAGTAATTTAATAATATTAACAATTCTAGAAAAATATTTGATCTTGAATTAAGACCATAAACTTAAAATGCTATAAAACAATTTTAGAAAAGTCTTTTGGAGAAAATATAATGAATTTTACTTAGATTATTTAATAAAATAATTAAAATTATAATTATAATTTTATATTAAAGTATTTATTTTGAATAATTTTATTTATTATTATTTCTTCATAAATTATTTAGGGTATAAGCACATTTAAATTCATTAAGAGTTTTTAATTCAATTATTTATTCCTTTTCCAATAAATTATCTTTAACTTAATTAAATTGCTCAGTCAATCCTTTTCCATAAATTTACAAACTTAATTTATTTTATTGTTTAATAAAGTATTTTTCATAGAACTCAATAATATCCTTAAATTTATAATAAAAAATATACTTTTTACACAATTTCATCAATCATTGCAATAGCAATCTCTTTTTCCTCTAATTATAGATTGTTACCTCTGATTTAACTCCATATATAAGCACTTTCATCATATAAAGATTTATCCTTTTCTTAAAGAGAAGATTTCTAAATAATATATAATTATTACAGCTCCATTTTTTATATTATCTAATTAATCATCAGCTAATGATAATAGTACATTGTGAAATTGTTTAATAAAGTCTTCAATATGTTAATTAACAACATAAGGCATTTAAGCTGTTCCTTAAACAATAATGGCAGCACCATCAATACAACCTATGGGAATAAATCTCATTAATGCTACATAGCCTAACTACCTTTCAGTTCTTAAATATTGGAATGCATGATTATGGAAGAATTATTAAATAAGATTCATAATTGCAAAATTCTTTTTATTTCTATGGCCAATTTAATAATAATTTATGGTAACTCCATTAACATCACTATTATCCCCTCCTTTGTGAATCAAGGGAACAACAACATTTTTGTTAGTAAAATCTCTAATGTTAAACACATGAGGTTCTTCTGATGTATGACTACTTGATTTATGGAAAACTTTTCTTATTGTATGTAAAAGATCTTCTACTTCTGATCTAAGTATATTACCGCTTACAAAAGATGATACTCTAAAATTGGAGAAATAGTTGGAATGGAATAGTTGTAGACTTTCCATATCTAGTACAGCTAATTCTTCTAAAAAGAGTTAAGAAGTATAATATTGAGCTTAAACAACTTAGTTCAAATATTCTGACATAGCAACTCTAAATAACTTATCTTGATAAATATTATTGTAATAGATCATCAATTTTTATTTGACTTAATAGAATGAATCAAATTTTAAATTATTTATGGATGATAGAACTTTTTCAAAAAATGATTGATAATTATCAGACCATCCATATAATTCAAGGGAAACCCCTTTGATACTAGGAGTAAATTGGAATTAATATCCAGCATCTATAGCTTCTTATATTTCTTGATTTAAATTATCAGTAACAAGAGTGTTAAAAACTTGAATCAAGAGTTTATCCTTTAATGAATTGATAGATTTAGGTGTATTAAACATGACTCCTGTAAATATTTAAGGAACTTTAAATTATCTTTATAATTTCCACCAAGCTTTAGTTTCAACAGATCTTTTGATCATAAGAGGATAATGATTGATAGCCTCATACTCTTTTTCATGTTAGATACAATCTTCTTTACTTTTAAATACAAGTGGTGCTTAAATAAAAGAAGTTTATTCTTTACAGAGAGATTTGATACTAAAATCTTTAGGAATAAAAGTATTAATTCTAGGTAATATTAATGGTAATGATTTAGATTTAATCCAATCAAAGAGCACAACTTTAGTTGTAACAGCACTAGAAAGTTTTTTAATTTATTCTTTAGATAAAGTAATGATCTCATATTCTAATCTGTATAATTCAGATGATTATTTAAGATTATTAAATTTGGGTGAGCCATGAAATATTACAATATTAGATGGATTGAGCATTTCGGTTAAATAATTATAGATAATTTCTGGTTAAAATTCCTCATAGAGAAATTCAATGCTCATAGCATCAGTGTAATCAAAATAATTTAGATTATGTGCTATTTATTAGACTGTAGGATAATGATTATTATCAAGATAGTTAAATTATGATAATTGTAATTATTTATATTATTACCAGATTTCTTCTAAATAAGGTGTGTAATTGATTTCATTTTTATCAACTTCTTAATAAAATTAATCTAACATATTATTAAAATATCCAGTAACAGTTTCTGCAACTTTAAGTTCATCTACTCCTTCAATCAATTCAATTTCAATTAAAAAGAATGTGAAATCTCCATTACCTTCTAAGAAAGTTCCTGCATCAACATTCAAAGCCATCTTTTATTTTACTAAATAATCTAATAATCCTTCCTTATGTTTTGATTTAATTAAAGATGCAATCATAGGTAAAGTCTTGCTTTTTTTAGCACTTCTAGGAGAATCTAATTAATAAGCTAATATTAATTAATTTTTATCTCCATTTGTTTTATACTTAACCATCAAACCAGTTTTCTTTAAAGGTAAATGTAATTTCTATTTTTTTTTCAAATTTAAATTTGGAATTTATGAAAAATCACTTTATTCTCTTATCCATTTGGCCATATCAGGATAATTTGATTTTACTACTAAACTCATAATATTTGCACTATAGTATTGTGAATGAAATTTTACTAATTCTTTCATAGGATCTTTTAAAGTCTTTAATGAACCTATAGTGAATCTACCTATTGGTTTATTTGATAATATCTAAAATAGATGTGAAATCTTCCATAAATCTCCTGATACTGCAATTTCATATTCACTATTTACTGCATTTACTTCTCTATCCACCATACTTGAATCAAGTAAAGGATCAATAAAAAAATGAGCAAATACTTATAAAGCTTCTACCACTCTTTCATTATTAATTTTCATATAATAATTAGTTTCTTCTCCTCTTGTATAAGCATTTGTTGATCCACCTCCTTCTGCTACTAATTTTTAAAAATATCCTTCCTAAGGATAACTTTTAGATCCTTAAAACAACATATGTTCTAAAAAATGAGCTAATCCTGGATATTCATCTGGTTCTGTCCATGAACCAACATTTACACATAATGCTGCTTATGCTATTTTAGCCTCTGGATCTTATATTACCAATACCTTTAATCCATTTGACAATGTAAAATATTAATACTCATTCTTATCTATTAATGGCAATTTCAAATTTGTTGCTTCCTTATATGCCTTTTCTTAAAATATTGATTTAAGATGCATCAGTTCTTCATCTATTTACTTATGTTTCGATGTAATTACATCTCTTTAAGTCTAAACCATAGCTACCGTGTTTTATGGTTACCATATTTAAAAAATACTGTTAATCTTAACATAATCTCATATAATAAAACAATACTATTAACATCTAATACTATTAGCACCAACATTGCTATTAAACAAATTAGTAATGCTCCCACTATTATAAACATAGTCTTCTGTTTATTTTTGTGTTTCAACTTTGAAATACGCCTTTCTGTTTATGAGATTGGAACGTAGTGCATTTATCAATAAAAACGTATTAATTATAAAATTGAGTTTATTAATTATCTTAATTACTATTTTATCTAAATAATTAAATCTCTCTAACTCATCATTCATTACTTTTTCTCTTCATTTCCAACTTATTTCAAGCTATCATATTTTTAAATTCAAAATTATCAATTTATCTTTATTATTCCTCTTTTTTTATAAACTCTAATCTAATTATTTTATATCATTCCTTATAAATCATCCTCTTAAAAGCATACTTTGTTTCAACTCCAAATTCTTTATTGGTTTCTAATTATTTTTTACTTTTATATCAAATTATACATACTTTATATCATTCATATTTTTTTAAATTTGTTTTAACCTAAAAAAATAATTATTATAATTCAATCTATTGGAAGCTCATTTAATATCTTCTATTAAGTAGATCTAGAGTCTGCTTTCACAAATTTTATTAATAAGCTACTGTAATAAGCTCCTGGGATTATCATTAAGCTGCCTACTATCAAAAGTGAAATGTATTATTGAAATTTATTTGGATTTTTAATTAAAAAAACTAATCCAAAAATTATAAAAACTACACCTAATAAGAATAAAAATATAGTCAAGGCTACGACCTGAAATTATATATATAAATTTATTACTTTCATAGGTATAATATTAAAATCATATTTTTCATCAGGTTCTTAGTTCTGAATTGAATTGCTGGTTTAATCAATCTCATTACTTTAACTGTCTTGTTATCTCGACGATGGAGTATCCTTAGATGTTTCATTAATTTCAATTTCTTCAAATTGTTTAATCTTGTGTTATCTTTTATTATTCATTTATAAATATTATTTCTGCATTTTCTTGATTTAAATTTTTATATCAGAAGATAGAAAACATAAGATATTTTACAAAAAGAGAGAAATCCAATTGAATAATAAATGTGAAAAATATCATTTAACTTAAAAATTAGAATAGTGTAGATTTCAATTACAAGATGGTTTTCTGCTCTTAGGCTTATCTAGCAATTTGTAAATAGATGAAGCAATATTTTATCTTTACCTTTCAGACTATAAAGGCTTTTCATGATAGCGACAACTCAATACTATATTAAAATTGATTTAATACTAGTTTTGGGGTCAGACGTATTACTTAGATTAGTGTTGATATTTAAGATGGATTTTATCGACTTTTTTGTCTTTAAGTGGGAATCTTCTTATTAATTGTCCTTAGATTTATTTTATTTAGATCCTTAGACACAGACTTATTAAACTAAAGGAGTTTTTTATGTTTAAAGCAATTTCTCAAGTTCAATATATTTTTTATGTTGTTTTTATATTTCTTTTGGAAGACCAGCTATTATCCATGGATGTTTAAGTGCATCTAATGGTTGTAACCTATTTTAGGGTTCCCAAGCAAAACATCTAAGTAGAAAATCAACTAAATCAGAATCTTCAGTTCTTAGTTTATCATATAAACTAACTGAATTTGGTTTACGATAAGATTTAATATTTTTTTTATGATGTCCATCTTCATCAAAAAAATATTTCCTTCTTGGACATTTCAAAGCAAAATCAACAGAAGGTGCTCCAATGATTTCGATAATCAAATTTATTTATTCAATTTCATCTTCTCCTGGGAATATTGGAGTTCCCATATACAACTCTGATATCAAACATGCAAAACTCCACATATCAATTTCAATTCCATATTTTAATCCAAATATAACTTCAGGTGCTCTATAATATCTACTTTGTATATATGTATAGATTTATTAACCAACAAAACAACCAGAACCAAAATCAACAAGTTTTATTCCACTTTTTGAATTATCTAATAACATCACATTTTCCGGTTTGATATCACAATGTATAATCTTATGCTTATTCAAGAAATTTAAAGAATTTAAAAGTTAAATTCCAATTTTTCTTGCTAATTCATGATCAATTCCTTTGAATTTTTATTTTTATATCAATTCAAATAAATTTTATTCTAATTTTTCGAAAACGATACATTAATGTCCTCGAAATGTAAATTGATCAATATTTCTAACTATATTTGAAATTTAATCAATATCATGATCTTTGATATATTAAAGTATATTAGTTTCTATAATTGCTTGTTTTTTTAATTTGTCTTAGTTTTTGATAACTTTCAAAGCATATATTTATTGAGTTTTATGGTCCAAAACTTAAAATACTTAACCAAAACTTCCTTGTCCTAATAAACTAACAATCTCATATTAATATCTTATATGATCTTTAATATTATATGAGTAATCTCCATTAGGTTAATCAATAAGGCATTTCGGTTATTTATAATAATAGACCTAAAAATAATGATTAAATTTATACTTATTTTATTCCATTCAATTCACTTTGCTCATTTCTAGTTAAGGTGTATAACTTAAGAAATTATTCAGTTAAAAGAGGTAATTTATTTAATTGGCTTTTATTGCTTAAAAAACTGTGATTATTTTCTTTGTCTGATGGTGACCGAATTTTGTAGGGTTAAAGCATACTTTTAAGGGAATTAGTTTTATTGTTATTTATTGGATATTTTTGTTTAAGTTTTCTTTCAGAAGACAAAAATGAATTATTGGGACTTACACTCAAAGGTGAAGTATCTAATTTTCTAGTCGATGAAGGATTATCAATCTTTCTTTTAGTTGAAAGTGGATAGTTTAAATAAGAATTAGATTTTAGTTAAGAAATATCTAAATGCACAGAGAATTTCTTCTTATGTTCAAACTTCATATATTATTGTTCTATTATTCTGTTAAATTTTTAATGAACTTAAAAGAATCAGAATCTATAAATGANAACTCTGATATCAAACATGCAAAACTCCACATATCAATTTCAATTCCATATTTTAATCCAAATATAACTTCAGGTGCTCTATAATATCTACTTTGTATATATGTATAGATTTATTAACCAACAAAACAACCAGAACCAAAATCAACAAGTTTTATTCCACTTTTTGAATTATCTAATAACATCACATTTTCCGGTTTGATATCACAATGTATAATCTTATGCTTATTCAAGAAATTTAAAGAATTTAAAAGTTAAATTCCAATTTTTCTTGCTAATTCATGATCAATTCCTTTGAATTTTTATTTTTATATCAATTCAAATAAATTTTATTCTAATTTTTCGAAAACGATACATTAATGTCCTCGAAATGTAAATTGATCAATATTTCTAACTATATTTGAAATTTAATCAATATCATGATCTTTGATATATTAAAGTATATTAGTTTCTATAATTGCTTGTTTTTTTAATTTGTCTTAGTTTTTGATAACTTTCAAAGCATATATTTATTGAGTTTTATGGTCCAAAACTTAAAATACTTAACCAAAACTTCCTTGTCCTAATAAACTAACAATCTCATATTAATATCTTATATGATCTTTAATATTATATGAGTAATCTCCATTAGGTTAATCAATAAGGCATTTCGGTTATTTATAATAATAGACCTAAAAATAATGATTAAATTTATACTTATTTTATTCCATTCAATTCACTTTGCTCATTTCTAGTTAAGGTGTATAACTTAAGAAATTATTCAGTTAAAAGAGGTAATTTATTTAATTGGCTTTTATTGCTTAAAAAACTGTGATTATTTTCTTTGTCTGATGGTGACCGAATTTTGTAGGGTTAAAGCATACTTTTAAGGGAATTAGTTTTATTGTTATTTATTGGATATTTTTGTTTAAGTTTTCTTTCAGAAGACAAAAATGAATTATTGGGACTTACACTCAAAGGTGAAGTATCTAATTTTCTAGTCGATGAAGGATTATCAATCTTTCTTTTAGTTGAAAGTGGATAGTTTAAATAAGAATTAGATTTTAGTTAAGAAATATCTAAATGCACAGAGAATTTCTTCTTATGTTCAAACTTCATATATTATTGTTCTATTATTCTGTTAAATTTTTAATGAACTTAAAAGAATCAGAATCTATAAATGATTTTTTTAAAGATGACACAAAATTTATCGGAGAATATAATTTGCCTGATTACAAAGTATTGAGAGGATATATACCAGGGTTTGGATAAGATCTTAGACTTTATTATACAAAATTGGATCCTCCTAACAAAAAAGCATCAATTTGTATAATACACGGATTTGGAGAACATTAAGGAAGATTTTTACATGTTAAAATAAATAACAATTTTTATTAGGTAGCTGATTTCTTTGCGAAAATGAATTTTGTTGTACATTTGATTGATATGAGAGGTTTTGGATTTTCAGGAGGACCAAGAGGATCACAAGTAATTACAGATCTTTAAATGGATGTCGAGGTTCTTATTAGATAAGCATCAAAAGATTTACCATTATTTTTATATGGGCATGCTATGGGTGCACTTGTTATAATAAGTTTATTGATTCGGAATTCAAAATTAAAAATTTCAGGTGTAATATGTACTGCTCCAACTCTAGGATTTCCTTTAAATAGAAATATTGGTCCATTTAAATAATTTTTAATCAAGAACTTCGGACATTATTTAGAAGTACATATTTATTTATAATTGATTTTTTTAAGGACTTAGTTATAAATACAAATGTTAATCCAACTAGTATGAGTAAGAATAATTAACATATTTAAAGAATTTTTGAGGATAGATTGATTATGCCATTTTTGGGAGTGGGAATGGCAAGAAGTATTTATAAAACATTACCTTTTATCTTTAAAAATGGTGAGTTATTTTAATTTCCTTTAATAATATTCCATGGAAAATAGGATACATAAAGTAGTTATGAAGACAGCGTTAAATTTTTTAAGTTAGTTGGAAGTAAGGATAAAATTATAAAATTATTTGATGAAGGATATCATGAATTATAACATGATGAAGAATTTTAGAGTATAAAATTATAATTGAATGAATGGATAAAGATAAGATTGGCAAATAGTATACCATTTGGTAAATTATTAATTAACAAAAGGAATATTATCATAACCAAGATTGTAGAATGGGATTCCTATGAAAAAGAATAAAAAGAAATTGTTAATTTTTTTGTTAATTTTGTTTTTCATTTATTTTTGGATTGTGTTTATTAAAAAAGGTAAGTTTAGGAAGATTTAATATCCATTTGTACCAATATTGATTTTGTATAAGAAATTCATTAAAAAATAATTAAAATGAAAATTAATATTATTTATATCAATGGAGATTGATCATGAATTGAATCCTTTCAATATTAAGAAATTAGTAAATAATGGACACACAACTAGAGTGCTCTTTGAATCTGAATAAGACACTTTCATTTGTGAAGTGTAAGTTTCCAATTGAATTATTTAGAATTGGACCAAGTTATTAATAATCACCTGAATGTCAGATAAACATTAAATTAGATGGTAATGAAATACTGAAAAGAGAGATTTATAATTTATTGAAACATTTGATATTTACAGAGACTTATTAAAAGTAATCCTTCACTGTGATTTTTGATTAATGTCCTCCATATTCAAAAGCATTTAATGCCTTATATTACTCATTATTGTTACATGGAGTAAGAATGAAAGATTCTTTTACATCCTGTTCAGCTGTACTTTATTATTTAAAATATTAAGTTTTTAGATGATAACAAAAGACTTGTTGTTGATAGGAATGAAAAATAATGGAGTGCAAAAATAAATTTAGTTTATTCAATTAATTTATAATAAATATTATGTTCAGATGTGATGGGATAATTTAATAATGATGATTTAGGAATGTTGATTTCAGGATGTATTAGTGGATGCAATCAGATATATAATTTTATTAAAGATCTCTGATCATATATAAACTTGATTCTAAATTTTAAAACATATAAATAATTTATTGTTAAATATTTATTAAAAATGGATTAAGCAACATTTAAGGCAATAAAAGTGAAACTTACAGATTATGAAATTTTACAAACTTTAGGCACTGGTTCATTTGGAAGAGTTAGATTAGCAAAAAACAAAGAAACTGGAGAATATGTTGCATTAAAAATGTTAAAAAAAGCAGAGATTTTGAGATTAAAACAAGTTGATCACATTATATCTGAAAATACAATCTTATCTAATATAAGTCATCCTTTCTTAGTATATTATATTTTTCTATTTTAGATTAAAATGCTTGGATTTACTTAAGATGAAAGATATCTCTATTTTCTTTTAGAGTATGTCCAAGGTGGTGAACTCTTTACTTATTTAAGAAACAAGGGAAAATTAGAGAATGATGAAGCAGTGTAAATATCTTATACTAAATTCAGATTTTATGCAGCTCAAGTTGTTCTTATGTTTGAATATTTGCATTCCAAAAATATTGTTTATAGAGATCTAAAACCAGAAAACCTTTTAATAGGATCTGATGGATTTTTAAAATTAACTGATTTTGGTTTTGCTAAATAAATCGAAGGTAGAACTTATACTCTATGTGGTACTCCTGAATATTTGGCTCCAGAAATACTTCTCAATAAAGGTATTATACTACATAGCATCTAACTAAAGGACATGGAAAACCAGTTGATTGGTGGTGCTTAGGAATTTTGATTTATGAAATGTTAGCTGGAATCGATCCTTTTAATGATGAAGATCCTATGGCTATTTATTAAAAAATATTAAAAGGAAAAGTTAAATTTCCCAGAAATTTTTAATAGTAAGTAAATATTATTAATTTTTATATAGAGAAGCTAAAAGCTTAGTCAAACATTTGTTAGTTGCAGATTTAACAAAAAGATTTGGAAATCTGAAAGGAGGGGCTAATGATATCAAAATTCATAGATGGTTTTAGTCAATGGATTGGGAATTTTTAGTCTAAAAAAAATTATAACCTAAATATAGACCAGTAGTTAAGTATAACCATTTTTATATAAAGAAACAAAGGAGACACTTCTAATTATTCTACCTATCCTGATAGTACAGAGTTACCCAAACCAGTAAAACCTAGTGATGATCCTTTTATTGGATGGTAAGTATGAATTTTTAAATAAAATTAATTTTATAATCAAAAAAAATAAATATAACATCTATCATACTGAAAATCAATATTTAATATTTAAGTTCTTTACTGATATCTTTTCTCTTTATCAAACTAAACTCTATTTATAAATATTCTGCTAATTACATATCCATAAATTTTTTTAGTTTCTATATTCTCAAGTGTAACATGATTTAACTCTATTTAGTAATTATCTTGGTTAAAGCTATTCTATCTTTACTAAATCAATCATCTTTTTATTTACTTTAGATCATCTCATATTCAGATTTTCCGATCTTCATTAATAGATTCATCTTTTGACTTATTTCAGAATTATTCTAATAGCAATCCTTTAAAATTTTTAATCAGCCTCTTAGCATATTAAATTCCAAATGTATCTGCAACTTGCTGATGCCGCAAAAGCCATTTTTAGATGTGAAAAAAGAAATTGATGAATGATATTTTAAACACTAAATCAATTTCTTACAGCAAAAAAGTCCTTTCTAGAGATTCAATTACAATTTTGAATATATTGTAAGATTCTCTAGAATATTGATTAAAATATCATTAAAGGCTTCAATATACATATTTAAACTAATACCTACTCAAAATGAAAAAAAATCAATATTTTCAACATTTTAAAATTATTGAATATTTCTTTATTAACAAAAAAATAGTATATATATCAATTCTTGAATTCAATTTTACGAAGTATTGAAATAAGTTATAAAATAATATTTTAATTCTTAGTATAGACGAAAACTCTAGTTGTATTTTTTAAAATTCATTCTCTTCGATTTTAATATTTATTCTAATATAATTATATTAGATATAAAGCATCAAAATTTTACTCCAGAATGTTGTTAAACTAAATTTATTTTTTTGTTTAAGCATCTTGATTTCAAGAAAGCTGAAAATTTCAATGTATTTGAAATGTGCTTATAATAAATTTTTAATTATTTTAACGAATTCTTGTATGATTGATTAAGAAAGCTTGTTAGCTGAATTGGGATTGTTGGATGACAAAAAATTATTGTTAGAACTAACCATATAACTTGGATAGAATGAACATGATATCATTTATCTATATGAAGGGGATGATATTGGACTTAAGGCTAGTTTATTTTGTGAAAAACATCATTTAAAAGATGAAATTATTGATATTATTGCTCAAAATATCAAACTAAATCTAAATGAGAAAGAAAATTATTTTAGCTTCGTAAATTAATCCACTTAGATAAGCAACACTAATACAAATAAACCTTTACATGATTAATCTATTAATTATATTAGAGAAGTAAATTAAGAGAAGAAAGAAAACAAGAATGATATCTTGAACAAATCATAGGCTGCCATTAAAAAAACTGACATATATGAAAAATAAGTCAAATAATTGAATTATAAAAATAATGTACTCTAAAAATAAAGGCTACTTAAAGAAGAAGAATAAATTAAAGAAGCCACATTCAAACCGAGGCTCAATTAAAATACATTAAAAATTGTCAGCACTACAAGATAAAATAGAAATTAAACTCCTGAATATTATTTATTGAAATATGGATAATAATTGCAAGAATAAAAAAGAAAGGCTGAATAACAATTTTTGAATGAAACTTCAAGAGAATGTTCTTTTAGGCCTGAGATTAATAAAATGTAATTATGATTCTGTATTTAGCTCCCAGAGAATTTGTGATGAAATAATCAAGAAGGATGTGAGCATGACTAAATTTGATTAACTCTATAATCACGCTAAAAAAAGAAAAGCTAATGATAAATCTTAAACTTCTTTTATTTAGGAATCATAAACTGAATAAACCAAAAGAAGTGTGACTCCTAATAAATCATATAATAAACAATATTTACCATTTTTAGAAAGAATGGAAATGTAAAAGAAGATTAAAGAAGAAAAATTAAAATAAGAAATTGAAGAATCGCTTATGTATGATGATAAAAGTGGATAAAAACTTTTTCAACCTTAAGTTCATAGTGCAAACAGATCCAGAGGAGGACTCAGTATTGGAGAGTACCTTTATCAATAATAAAAATCTTTAAATGAAGAATCAATCATTTAATTTGAATGTGATGATTTAAGTAAATCAGTATAAACTGAAAGATCTAATTAAATAGTTTTATAAATGAGAAAAAAAAAGCTAGAAGAATATTTTAAACTTATGGATTCTGATAATGATGGATTGATTAGTGCTCAAAATATTTATCTCGAAGAATTACCAACTGAGGCGTTAGAACTATTACAACCAGTTATTTTATAATTGGAGAAGTTGGACATTTATTTGAATATCGAAACATGGACAGCAAAATGCTTAGATATAATTGAAAAAATGAGTATTTTTGATAAAAACCGTCTTTTTTAAAAACAACCTAAATAGTAAAAAACCTTGCCTGATACTTCAAGTACCTTTAAACCTTAATTAAACTAAAAATCTGAGTAGATTGCAAAATAAAGATAAACATTCAAAGGACCAGCTGCCTTATATCAGAAGGCAATGAAGGAAAATATAGTTAAAGAATAAAAAATCAAGAAGATTAAAGAATAATAAGAATAAAAGGAGGCTAAAAATTGTACATTTTAACCAAAAATTAAATTCTTTAATAGATCAACTACCAGCACAGAATTTTATTGATAAATTTTACTTAGTTTATTATTTAATTATTAATAAATTATAATATAACATAATTATAATATAAGAGAGTAATTTAAGAGAGATAGACTTTTAAAAATAAAATTTAGATTAAACTTTAAACAAACAAACAAGTTATATA